TGACGGGGGAGCAGCAGGCCCACCATCCTGAAAAGGGAAAGGGGGAAGGGTAGGGAGGTGGAAACTGGGCTTAGGCAGAACAGTAGCAACAATCTGAGGAGGAAACTTCATTTGCTAAATACGATATCGAAATGCAAGATAACACTGTATAATGCAATATAATTGGAATTGAGGCTAATAAATAAAATGAGAGAGCATGTCCAAAACTGAAGGCCTGACTCTGAATTGAAGGCAAAATGGCTGGGGAGCACACCTGCGCATTGCCAGGCAGCAAGAGAGTGAGTCTGATGTCTTGCCAGCTTTATCTTTCCCCTCTGAATGCAAAATCCTGTGGGGTATGTAATTCTTTTCTTCTGAGATCCAGGTGGAAAATCAGTGGTTCATGGCAGTGGAGCATTAATTCTTTAACTCCCAGTGCTTTACATGGTGTTATGGTATATATATATATGGTATATATTGGAATAACAATAACAAAAATCATAAAACCATGACAACCAGCAAGTGTGAGCACTTTTTCAATACCTTCTAAGTTGCTTAGAGAGGGAAAGTGCCAGGGTGACAACAGGGGAAAGGAAGATAGGCAGGTACCAAGTTTCAAATTGTAAATCCACCCTTTGTGCATGCCCATTAATTTTGCTGATTCCCTTCTTCTGTCATCATGGGGTAGATGTGCTTTCATTGGGATACCTACATATTTGTTATCCCATCTAAGTGCCCCTTGAAAATTTTAGACCAGTTACATTTGTGGAAAAGGAGGACATGGCATCAAATAAGTGGAGAGTTCAAATTTGATTGAGGCACTGTGTGAATGGCTGTGTTTTCCAAGAATTCTATAGTGCTGGCTTTTAGGTTATTTCTGACAGTGTATAATGTAAATAAGGACCTGCCAGATGCCTAAACTTATTTAGGTGATGAAAGAAATAGTGAGTTCTTAGCAAAACCAGGAACTGAAAGATCTCAAAGAGATGAATTTGCCATCTTTGAAAATTCCTGTAATTTTTAATTTTCTCTGGTTCTAGTCTGCTAAGTTAAAAATCACTTTGATATATTCCTGTGTTTTATTAACCATGATTCAGGATACAAGTTCTGACTTTCTAAATCTTGCACTGGACCTCAATTGAACGTGTTGGTATTTGATAGATACAGCATATGAGGTAATTCATCCAATGAAGTGATTATTAGTCTCAATTTTGCTTACTCTTTACTCTGGAAAAAAAAATTCTTTTTATATATTGTGAAATTGGAAAACTTATTGGGTCTCGCTTAGTTTCCTCCTTAAACTGCTCTAAGAACAAGTTGTAGAACAGAATGATATACTGCTTAAAGCTTTTGATTTCCAAGGCATGATTCCTCTTTAAAAGTTGTACTGAGTCCATATATTAAATTCATAACATCTCATAACATTACAAAACAGGGGAGAGAAGAGTGCTGTTAAGAGAAGATTAAAGATTTAACATTGGTATGAGTTTCCCATCATAATGTCTAGCTGTTAGTGATAGAGATTTCAGGCCTTTGTGGCATTTACATGTTATGAACCATAAGACAAAGAAATATCTTCTTCTGCAAAGACAGTGAAGATGTTGTACATGTGTCACTTTCATATGTCTTCCTAACCTCTAACCTCTTTGATGATAAATGAAAGAGGTGAGAGCTATAGACAATTTAGAGACTCAAAGTGAAAATGGACTCGTAGTACCGTTGAACCTTGCCTATTGCAGATCTTCTTACTGAAGAAATAACATGAACACAAATGTTTCTTTCTAGTGGGAATGAATTTTTAGTGTAGGAAGGAAGGTTTTATGTGTATGTCCTAGAATGGTTTGCTTTAGCTTAAAACCTATTGCTAGTCATGATCAAAGTATGAGGTATTTGTGTTATAATCCTGCGGGTGTTTTATAAAGAAATTGAATTCCTTATGTAACTTGAAAGAATGATAAATGCAATAATGTATCTTTTTATTCCTCAAGTTCCTTTCACTGCAAAGAGCTTATAAATGACACAGCAGGAATGACTCCTCTTGCAAGGCAGGAGTGCCTACCTGTTGGAAATATGTTTGAAATATGTCAGTTGTAGTGGTGCACAGCAGTAGAACTCAGTATTTTTTAGCTTCAGCAAGAGAAAACCAACTATACAGCTGAAAGTGCCAGAAAGAACTAGAGAGACAAAATAATTTTTCCCAACAGAATATACAAGAGCAATTTGGCTACCATACTCTTCTAAGGTGATTTTCTTAAAATGCTTAGTAGCAAAAACTTATAAACCATAAATCTAGCTGCATAACTTGAAAGGAAAGTAGTATTTTGAACATTTTCCCAAGAAAATCTGCACATTATCAGCTGTTTCAGTAGGAATTAAAGATGAAGAAATAATGATTAAATGACGTGTCTGTGGAATTCTGCTTTGCCATTATGTGTTGCCAATGCTCTGCCTCTGCTGGTAGGTTTATACTGGGAGAGGAGGAGACAGAACAGGTCACTCTTCTGCTAGCAGGGTTGCTTTTCTGTACTGGAGAGTTTTCTGTTCTTATTCTCTATGTGCTACCCGCACATTCCATGTGCACATTAGAAAGTGGATTAAGAGACTATGTCAAGCCCAGCTCCAAACAGATAATATAAACAATACTTGGAATAAAATGCAGTCAGGGGAATTAGCAGGTTTTGTCAGAATGTTGCAAGTTCAAGGAGAAAATAAGTCAGTATGCATTAGTTAATTAACTGTGTAGTGTGACTTATGGGATATATCCAGCATTATGCAAAAGCTCAATTTGCAACTTTGCTTCATAAATAATTCTAGAATGTTGAAAGTGTTACCAAAGGAAAGATAATAATAATGGGTTTGAACTCTGATGGCATTGGTGTTTTAGAACCGATTCTGTTGCTACAGTTTGTCTTCCTTTCCTTGTTAATTAGCACTAAAGGGCATGTGCGTGGTAATAGTCTTCATTTTATAAGCCTTCCTGTGCTTCTGTCACTTTTGCTCCTTAATCCAAAATCCTAATTCCCTGTGACATCCCTGTTAGTTGCTCTGAACAAAATTCTGTTGCTACAGATGGGGGATTATGACACCAACCAAGGACTGTAAGCAGCAGAAATAGCTGAACTCTCTGAGACAAAGATGCTTTTGCCATGCAAATAGCCTGTAGCACTGAGAAGTGAGGCGAAGCATAATACTGATCTGTGCTGTGCCGACACAACAGCAGATCTGACTTCAAGCTTTCTTTATTGTTAGCCTTCCAAAATTCCTCATCAAATGGTGCTTATGGATGGTATTTTTTCCTCTTGCTCTTTTAAAAGCAGCTTCATCTTCACAGTTGCTTTCTGTAAAATGCGATACAGAAACTGTTTGTGGGCATAATTCATGTGCTTCGGCTTTCTGGTCTGACAGCACCTCCAGCCACAGTTACTAAGGCTTCATGCAAGCTTACTCTGTGATTTCTAGTATTTCTCTTGTGGCACCTGGATGGGGGAGATATCTCCAGTCTGATTATGCCCATTATCAACTGCAGTTACTGATTAAAGTGTTTTCAGATAAGTGCAGGAAAAGAGAAGAAAAATTATCATTGAAAATGCTCTTCTTCAATGAGTTCTTATCCTCAGAAAACTCAAATCTTAAACAAAATGGTAACTAATATTTCAGATTCTTATATTTCATCCTTTTTCTTGAATCTGAATAAGTTTAAAGTTTACATGAGGAAGTATTACTTTTCAGAAAGGGTGGTCAGGCACTGGAATGGACTGCCCAGGGAGGTGGTGGAGTCACCGACCCTGGGGGTGTTCAAGGAAAGACTGGATGTTGTATTGAGGGACATGGTTTAGTGGGGGCTATTGGTAATAGGTGAACGGTTGGACTGGATGATCTTCTAGGTCTTTTCCAACCTTGGTGATTCTATGATTCTATAAAGTGAGCGTCAGACCCCATTCTGATGTGTATCTGTGTGTCTGGTTTTATCTGTGACTTTTATAAGTCTAAAGGCAAGGGAGGAGTGAGTACATGCATGTATCTGCCAGCCTGTGCCTTACAGTCTGTCAGCACTGTTGTAAACCTAGAGGTGATCTGTTCCCCTCATTCTGTGCCAGTGAGACTACTGGGGTTCATACAGCTGCAGATGACTTGGGTGGGAAAAATAGGTGTGTGGAGGGGAGAAGTATTGAATAATTCTGCACAACTTTCTTCAGGTGTGGTAACAAGCTGTTACTGTGTCTACTGCTGTGTCTTTTCAATAGGTGGATCTTTTTTTCTCAGGGGTTTTGTTGCCTGCTCTTGTTATCTGCACTTTTCTACTTAAGAATTCCTCTTTTTTTTTTTTTTTTTTTTTTTTTTTTTTAACAGTATAACATATAGTGGAATAATGCAGCTTCAAGAGCTGGCTATCTGCTTGTGGATGACAAATTGTCATTCAGAGTCCTTCTGATATGAAGAACACACTTTTTGCTGTTATCTTGGTTGTGCCTTTGCAATTTTATCTGAGTTAAGATATCAAGGGTTAGCTCCAAATCAGAGACAATGGAAGACTATTCTGTTAGTGATGGCTGCATCTCCCAAAGGCTATGATGGAAAGGTGTCCAATATAGAAGGAGAAGTCTCATGGAGTTGGTTGGTTTTGTTTTATAACATAACATTTCCCGAGGAACCTACAGAATAATTCTTTGGATAGGATAAGGTATTGTTCAGTTACCCTTGCACATTATCATATTTCATTATATATTGCTTTGTGTGAGCACAGAACATACAAAGTTAGGCCTGCCTAACAGGGAATATGTTGCTGTTCACTTTTCTTCCTTCTTGTGTGTTACAGTTTGCTGTTTTGTTGTGCAGTGTGCAATTGTCTGTGTGCTCTTTTACTAATGTTTGTTATGTGTTTAAGAATGGAAAACTGTTTCATTAGTACTTTTTATGTACTGCATGAGAATGGTGGTGGTAGTGATGGATTGAAATTATGGGCCTCACTAAACTTATTTTCTCAACTTTGTTTCACTCTGTTCTTGTCATCCCTTCTTCAGGACCAAGCACTACCTGCCAGGAAGATTCCTGTGCAAATCAGGGTATCTGTAATCAGCAGTGGGAAGGCTTCACCTGTGATTGCTCCATGACTTCATATTCTGGGAGCCAGTGTAATGACCGTAAGTCATTTTTTTTCCATTGGATTACAGAGAACAGCGAGTCCTAATAGATTAGAGCATAGAGAATACACAATTAGTTTTACTTACAGTGGAAATAAAGCCTTTCCAATGGTAAATCCAAATTTTATTTCTTGATAGGTTTCTTGAAGCATGCAGCAAGTTATTTTTTCCCTGCTAAAATGAAAATGTGGAATACTTTATGTGTGTGTTTTGGAGGTGGTTGTTTTTTGCCTTTGATATCCAGATCAGTGATGGTAATTGATGTTAATTGAATTCTTAGTTTAGAGAAACAAAGAATGGCTTGTGTGTACTATGTATACTATTAACATAGGTACAAAATATCTATATCTTGTATATTGAGTTATGCTTTGATGTTTTCATTCAAGCTTTTCTGGCAGAGAAATGACATTGGTATCAAACTGCTTTGCACTGTTCTGGGTTTTCTGTATGTAAAGATGAATGTTTAGGAATTCGTTGCTAGAAACTTCCTTTTATTCTTCCCAAAACATTGGATGTTATGTTATTGGCCAATGACTTCTAAGATAAACTTGCTAAAACAGTTAAACAAAACCCTGTAGCCCTCTTTTGGCCCTCAAATGTTTGTCTGTTCATCCTGATAGGACATTTGCTTCTGGAAGCAGGAAGCAGATCACTTAAGCTCTGTTTTCTCTCCACTTCTGTTAAGCAGATAGCTAGATCCCATTTCCTTCCTTGCTCCAAAGCATGGAACAAAGAATCACGTGCTATCGGTGCTGTAATGAGCATAATTGTAATAATCAATAATTTGGCTTATTGTATGCAGAAACTTTAAGGCTGGAAAAATCTGACCACCTGCATTTCATAAACTGCTGCATTTAATTATGTGTATTTATGAGAGAATTTATTAGAAATAACAGTAAGGTGTGTGATATTAGTGCAGTGTCATACCTGTATCCCTCCTCCTGGGAGTTTGAGATATGGCTGAATTGATAACAAAAATGACAAACTGCTTAACAAATGTTCACAGTCTGTTCCTGCTGAAGGCTGGAAAGCCGGCATTTCTGTGAGTCTTTCATCAATTGGAATGTTACCTGAATTGCTCTCCCCTTTCTGCAGGTATAGTTGTCTCAAGCGAGTATTGAAAAGGCTGCTCTGTGCTGCAGCACTGGCTGTATGAGAAGGGTACTACAGACACAGATCTAGAGGCTCCAGTGTCAGATCTGTTTTTGGATTGATTTGGAATCTGGAATGACTCAGTTTGGTCTAAAAGAAACAGTATCAGAGCAACAGGATGTGACACTGATTTTCTGCATTTTTGTTTTGATTTCTTATTGGGGGGGTGGAGGGAGAGGGGAATAAGAGGTATGTGAGGGGATCTGGAAACCCTGTTGGACATCCAGGTCTCCATTCCCAAACCTCTCTTGTTCAGAGAGTTCAGTTTAGTCTTACTAAGCATAACACTTTATAAAACAATGGTATAAAACAAGTAAGTGCTTCTCTGGAATGTATTGGACTGCATTTAAGTATGTGACATCGAAATCTCTGAAGACAGAAACTGCAGTTTTGTTTCTAATGTGTTGGACTTCACAGCTCCAGAGTGCTCTAGTGCCTTTGTTAGGCTGTTGTTAATGACTTAAAGCAGGCTCTCAGATGCCAGAAAGCCAGGTTCCTGTGGCTGTAATTGGAGATTCCTTGTTGCTTTTTAGAGCAGATGGTTAGAAACCATGCAGATCAGAGGTGGTAGTTCGATTGGAGAGGAGGTGACTTGAGCAAGATAGTAGTCGGCTTCCTAGTATCTGGGCTGTCTAGTGATTTAGAAATGCTGACAGGAGGTTGTGGGTTTTAAAATGGTCTGGAAAGGTAAGTCACGTGGATTCCTGAAACACAATGGGACTTCAACCAGGATCATCAAAACGTGCGTATAACCTTTTTTGTGGGTTTTTTTTTTTTTTTTTTTTTTTTCAGTCTTTGCTTTGTATCAGGACGTTAAAGAAAAAGTTCTGATTTTGGTTGCCTGCTTGTTATGAAGTGTTATGGACTATGAGGAGAGAGAAGTTTTACTTTTTGTTCTCATCTGTTAGGTACAGTTTTTATGATACATGCAGGTATTTGTGTGTTAATTGAGTTATGTGTTCTTTAGACTGGATTCATTGCAAATGATGTCAAGTGTAGATTACTTCTGAGTAATCTAAGACAAGCAAATCAAAGTGTTCCAAAGTGTTGCAGTCTGTGCTAATGTGTAACTTTGAGCAGATGAGGTACCAGAATTGGAAGTTAGCCCATTGTATTAATGAAATGCTTTCAAGTGAGGCAGTTTCATCCTATCTACTTACTTAATTGTAGCAAGTTCCTTAGCATGATCTCAGATGAAATAGTATTCGTTACAGACTCCAGATAACCTGAGATGTCCAGCTTTAGAGCTTCCTGACCTTTTTCTTGTTCTTATGTGTTTAATCAGACATGGTTAACATATAGATAACACACTTAAAAAGGAAAACAAACAAACAAAAGACTTTGGAGATCTAGCTACTGGAAATGGTTATATGCATGTCCAATTATTAAAAGAATACTTGTTACTTGATGCCTCCTGCAGAGGGTAATACTGGGGGGATCAATCTTACCAGGCTAACACAAGTATGTATTAATGGAGGCTACTTGTCTGTAAAAGATCAATAGCCTGCAGCAATGACGAGTGCAAGGAGAGTATAAAGCACTTCTTCAAACAGCTTCTTTTTGTTGAAACAGTTAAGTTCATCTGCTGACTATTGATTTGGTCTTTGGAGTGGGTGGGTGCACTATTTGTTTGTTAACTCTGGGTTGTAATATCTACTTGATTTAAAAACAAGTCTACAGTTCATTTGGCAAAAAAGCAAAGGCAGCGATGTTTGTCTTTTTGCATGTATGTCTTCTTTTGCTTCCCCTCTGCATAGCTGTTGATAAACAGAGCCATTTTATATCCTTCTGATTGGATTGTTTGGTTAAGAAGTGCAAGAAGTCTGTTCTTTTTGCATAATTAGTTACATTTTTCTCCTAAGATTCCTTTCTGTGCGATGTGTAGCCTATATACTCCTTTTGTATTTGGTGGGTCACGTTTGGAGGAGGAGAGAAAGTCATGGTGACTTTGTTCTTCCTGTGTTTAGCACTATCATAGGAAGAACTTGTGTGAATTTCAGTTCTGTAATTGCAGTCAGTGAGGCTGAGAATCATAGAATCATTGAACTGCTCAGTTGGAAAAGATCTTAAAGATCGTCAAGTCCAACCACAACCTAACTCTAACAACCCACTGATAAATCATGTCCCTGAGTATCAAAGATTTTTTTTTTACTGGACTTTGAAAGGAAGAATATATTAATAAATTAATAATAATAATAATAAAGCAGATAAAATCTAGAAGAAATACGTCAGAGAATGCATCAGAGTAAAGCACAAAACATTTTAGAATAAATGAAGAATGAAGCTGGCCTTACTGCCATGTATGTGTTTTGGATGTGGAGCAGGATGCCAGTAACATCCATCCTTCTCATGTCCTTCCCATACTCCACATAAGTGAATGAATATGTGAGTAGATTGATATTGCTAGAGGATGTAGACTGTAGACTACCTTGCCAAAAGGTAGTGGCAGAGCCAGCTTTCCTCATTTCTGCTTAAATAGGATGGCAGAATAGTCATTAGAGGAGACTGCTTATAATAGGGAGAATAGCTAAATTATTAACTGTTTTTTTATAATGATAACTTTATTCTGACATCCATGCAAACCATTTGTGCTCTGCTCTTATGTTGTTTGTTCCACTGAGCAATTATAGCTATTTCTGCAGAGAAATTCAGATCCCTATTTGGGAGACAGTCTTCCCTCTCATCAATATTTTGGTTTTGCTGCCATCTGGGCCAATTTTTGTCCAGACTTTGACAATGCTTCATAGCATTGTATGCTGCCAGCATGCTCAGCTTAATTTACTTACAGAAACCCTTTTCATTGTTTGTGTTTGATTACCATGCAATGGTTTCTAATGTGCCTAGCTTATCGCTTATTGAGTCAGAGAGCAAGAGGTTGCTAGTGTGTAGGAAATAAATCTGTATAGACTTCATTAGTCATGCACAGCTAAACCAGTCAGCTGTTTAAATATCAGCACACTGAGGGATTTGCCTTTGATGCTTCAGAGACAGGCACCCTATATTAAGCAAGAGTCACCTCTGATTTATCTTGAGTGAATCATACTTCTTACAGCAGGTCAGGCACCCTGTCTAATTTTTGCTTGCCGCCTCATGATTTGCCCTCACTTACTCTGTGCTCTTTTAGGTGCCCTCTACTATAACTTGCATTTTCTGGATGATGGCTCATTTGAGTCCCTACCTTAAGCCTTTGGGGTCTTCTGTCTCTGAATGAACTTACCCTCCCTTCCTTCAAAGAGGAGGGAAATGCAACTGCAGACTTCGTTACATGATGCAAATTGTACTATTGTGGTTTGGGTTGTGAACCCTACTTTTACAATTCATACTGCTGTTTATTTTCATTTGCACTGCCACTTCAAGATTTGTAGCATGTTTAGAGCAGTGACCTATCTCTACTTTTTATTTGAGAGCCCTGGACGTTTCCGTTGCTTGGTAATAACCTGTTACGTAGTTGCTTTAACATTTGGGTAGCTTATGAATTGCCTGTTGCTTGTCTTTTTACTGAAAGGCATTTCCCCTCCTTTGAACAATAGCTGTGAGAATGAAATCAGATTGCCATTCCAGAGCTTGCTCGCTCCAGGTGCCCTCTGGGAGTCATTTAGGACGGATACTGTTAAAATCAGGGAGGAATTTGGGTGTTCCTGTGCTGGGTGAGAAAGAGGGAGTTAGAGTGACAGATGCTTTTAGAAATCACTGCTTCTGCACTTTTCAACACCTCTTCAAGGTGCCCTGACAGAAAACTGTTTCTTTTTTTTTTTTTTTTTTTTTTTTTCCAAATGTGAAAGCTAGCCAACTTTATCCTTTTGTGATCCCCAAATTGCAGCTAGGTCTCTGGTGAGTGATTTAATTAC